AAAGTCTATGAGGTGGTAGTTATGAAGATTCCAGTGCACGGTGACATCTGGTCAACTGTGTTTGTCTCAGTAATGAAGCTGCAAATTAAAATGTTATCAAAGCTCTCATTTCTATACTGCTTAATCCCAAATGGGGCCACGGGGGGCTGGAGCCAATCCCAGCCGGCAAGGAGGGGTACACCCTGGACAGGTCTGTTATCAAAGCTGAAATATCAAAATAAAAGTCTGCATGTAAACAGCTCTCTTTCTGTTCTGCATCAGTGTGGACAGTTTTCCAGTTTTTATCAGACAGAAAATGTCCTGCCTGGAGCAGGTTCTCCCTGGTTATCTCCTAACACAAGGAAAAGATGACAATTACAAAATAAAAGCAGTTGCAAAGGTATCTGTGCTCAGTTCAGTGAAGAATAATGATGCACCTAATACACAGATGGAGAAAGTGAAACCATGCAGCATGCATGTTCGGGTACATCAGCACTGTGGCTCTAAACTTAGCAGGGAGGAAATAGCTGCTGTCAGATTCGTCTCATCATTGGCTAGAAAATCATTTTCCGTCGCTGTTACAAGCAAAAACATCTTGTCTCTGTTTCCAGATCAGACACAGCCTACTCAGTGATCAGAAGCTGCTGCAGGTTTACATGTCTACAAAGACAGGTTATTCTTAAGGCAGGAAGTCTGTAGTGTGTTTCAATCAGTTCTCAGATTTTCCTTCTTTCAGTCAGCAATTATATTCAAACAATGTGCAAACAATTTTAACTGATAGCTTCTTGTTAAAATGGAATTATATGGTGTGTAGTAAAATATGTTATATAACATGAAAAATATCTGGTGATAATGTGGAAAGGATTTCATGTAAACAAGACGCAGTGCAGGCCACAACACCCTGGACATGAATCGCACCAGAGTCCGAATGGAGCCGACTGAGACCCTCCCTTCAGACAGTCTTGGCCCCGGTGTTGTGTCGCGATCCATTCCCTGTCAAGGTGTGTTTCCCTAATCTTATCCTAAACATAACCACACACATAAGCACAGTTTTAACAGGTGGGGAGATACATGTTGATGTGGGGACAGATTTTGACACAAAACCAGCACCAGAGTTTGACTGACAGCTTTCTTATCGAACTGAGCAGTGTTAAGAAACATGACAAAAATATTGACCTATCTGTCAGGAGGTAAACTAAAATAAAACTAAATAAAAAGTAGTATTTTGAGAATAAGAACTGCGACCTACCATTGTACATTTTCTGTCACTAATGTGAAAGACGGACAGATGGACATGAGAAACTATCGTCTTACTAAGCGACATGCAGGCCGAGTGTTTGCTGCAGAGCAGAAAACAGAGTGATGACAAACACAGCATTTAGCAGGAGAGACGTCAGCGTCGCAGCTCAGTGAATCTGAATGTGACAGCAGAAGGAAGCAGAAGACAACCGCAGACCCTAGCAGGAGAAAGGAGCGCCGAGAAGATGGAAATCCCACGTACATCTCCAGCACCATGACGATGTCAGACTTGGCCTCGAAGGCGTCGACACACTGCACCAGTTTGGGGTGATGGAGGCTGTTCATGATGCCAATCTCCTGCCGGACGTTGTCCTTCTCCTTTGCCGAGTACGCCTTGATGAACTTTCCTGCCCAAACCTTCTTGGTGGCCTTCTCCACCAGCTTGAAGACTTGACCGAACTTGCCCCTGTGACACAAACACGACTCCATCAGGTGCAGAAGCAGAGCAGAGCAGTCGGTCGGTCGGTGTCCAAACTGTGCACAACTGCACCGAGACAGTGGAGACAGCTGTGCTCAGGGTTTTATGTTGTGTCTAACTGGTCTTGTTATTTTAAACTATCTACATAGTTGTTTTGTTTAGGTCATAATAAGCTGAGTCCAATTGATTTTTTTCTAAGTTTTTTCAGCTGTTTATGTTACAGTTCTTAATACTAATATCTGTGTTTAAATCTAAATTATCTTGTTTTTTGTTCTGCTAACAGTTTGGCTTTCAAAGCATTTGTATAACCAGGTGGCATCACACTCCTCTTTGTTGATAATTTATGGTCAATTAATATCAGGAAACCTAAAGGTCATGCAGGTGTATTGTGGGCAAGGGTGAGTGGGCGGAGCCTTACGTTCCCAGCCTCTCCTCCACATCGTACAGCTCCTTCACCTTCACATCTGTTCTGATGGTCACGTCTCTGTAGTCTGGCTCCTTCTCCGAGTCTGACACAGGAACACACAGGTCAAAGGTCACAGGTACAAACGGCATGAGTCCTCGTGTAATGTCATTCATTCAGTGTTTTGTCCTGTTTCTGAATGTAACTCTGTCATGTTGTCACATCTGTGTTCTTTGTCTTCTTGTGTGGCTCCAGTTGTGTTGTGTGAATGTTGTGAGGAGGTGAATCAGCTGATGACCAGCTGAGGTCACTGACTGTAAACAGGAATTCTTACCTTCGTCGTCCTCCTCTGCCTCGGCCTCATCCTGGTTCTCTGTTAAATGTCAAATAGTAGCAGGCGTAGTTCAGTTAGTCGGCTCAGCTCAGTCACATCTGTGCACCTGTTAGTCACGCTTCAGTTTAGTTGAGTTGGTTCCACTTTACTCACCGTCATCCTCCATCAGGCCAACAGTAACAGGTTCAGACTCTGCGCTTGGCTCTCCAACGCCATAGACGTTCTCCGCCCGGACACGAAACTTATACTGACGGTCTGGAAGAAGGTTCTTCAACCCACAGAAATGTTATTTAAACATGTCAGCTTTCCCTGGGGAGTAAAGCTTTGTAAGACAGTGAACACCTGTGCTGAGCAAGCAGTTGCACACACCTGTACACTGTAGGAGGTGCTGTTGCAGGACACCAGGTGTTTCCACTGCTGCTCCACAGAGTCCCAGATCTCCAGGTTGTAGGACTGCACGGCGCTGCCTCCGTCGTAGGTTGGACCGTACCATGACAAAGTCAGACTGGAACGCCCAATATCGGAGGTTGCCGGGACCTTTGCTGGGGGGTCCGGTTTATCTGAGGACAGAGAGTTAAAACTGCTGAGAAGACGGGGCCCAACAGTCAGTCCTGAGGGGGGAGCTAGAGGACAGATCACGGAGGCCTGATGTTTGCTCTCTGTGCCTCCTGGTCACTGAAGAGAAGCTGCATGAGTGAAACATGAAGGATATGGAGAAGAAACTATATGAAACAGTAGAAACCAGTGCTGGAAAGTAACTCAGTACATTCACTCAGGTACTGCACCTAGGTACAGTTCAGAGGTATTAGTACTTTACCTGAGTATTTCTGTGTTCTGCTACTTCATACTGTGACTTCACTCCATGTCAGAGACAAACCGTGTACTTTTTACTACACTACATGTACCTGATAACTTCACATCCTTTCTAGAATCAGATGAATCAAACCAAACCCAGTAGAATCATCAGACTCTATTGAACCTGGTGGGAAATCCACCAGCTACCAGCAGGATGTAAAGTACTTCACTGTATAAGTATATAAGGTAGTTAACATCAGCTCCACCTTTACCAGCTGCAGTGTTAAAGTGATGAACACAGTAACACATCAGTCACTATTATCTAGTAGTATCAGAGACATTACTGTGATACGGGCCATTCTACAGGATGAGTACTGGTACTGCTGGTACTTCAAGTATATGGTGATGCCAATACTTTTGTACTTTTACTGAATGATTTTACTTGTAAAAGAGTATTTGCACACTGCAATATTATTACATGTGCTGAAGTAAAGCAGCTGATTACTTCTTCCTCACTGTCTGCAGTGAAACAAGAAGAAACTGGGATGTGACTACAGTTTTTATGAGAAAGAAGAAGATGTTACACAGGCCAGAGGTCAGAGTGGGGTGGAAAGAGGCTGCTGCCTTCTGGTCCGGAGAACATCTGGGTGTGTTTATAGGTCCATACAGACACATCACTATTGTAAATTGGATCAAACTGTGGCAGAGTGTGTCTCAGGATTATTACCACACAGATTCTGGTGTTTTCTCTGCAACCGAGTTTTCATTCTAAATATGGCTTCAGCTTATTTCACTGGGTGTGTAACACCTGTTCCAGGAGTCCTGTCATGTTCTGGACTATTTTCTGCCATTGAGATAAGAAGTGATTATATGTACAGTGTTATTTGGCGATCTGGTGAAATTTGTTGCTTTTAACCATGAGTTAGGCCCCCTGGCTCATCATTTGAAGATGGCTGTAAAAAAAACCTAGGGGTAATGTGACTTAAGATTTGACAAGTAGATCGACTCAGTTATAAAATCTAGTTTCTCTCAACTGAGGTTATTAAGCAAAGTCAAGTAAGTTGTTTCTTTTAATGATTCTGAGATTGCAATTCATGCTTTTATAACCTCTAGACTTGACTGTTGCAGTGCATTATACCTTGGTGTTAATCAGTCGTCTCTCACTCGTCTTCAAATGGTTCAAAATGCTGCGGCTCGTCTTTTGACAAGTACCAGGAAATTTGACCATATAACCCCGATATTGGTCTCTCTTCACTGGCTTCCAGTCCGTTTTAGAATTCATTTTATGGTATTGATTTTTGTTTTTAAGGCTCCTAATGGTTTGGCACCGCCCTACCTCACTAAGTTGGTGAGGTGGTATGAACCTACAAGATTACCCAGATCTTCAAACCAGTTTCTTTTTGAGGTTCCCAGGGCCAGATACAAATGCTGGGGTGACTGTGTTTTTACTGTTGCAGCTCCTAAATTGTGGAATAGTTTACCTCCCAATATCAGATCATCTACAGACTTGATAACTTTTAAATTACTGGTTAAAACATTTATTCACTTTGGCTTTTAATACATAAAATTGTCTTATGCTTTATTATTTTAACTATTGATTCTGTGTAATTTGTGTTTATGTTCCTTCCATCCATCCATCCATTTTCTATACCACTTAGTCCCAAACGGGGTCACGAGGGGCTGGAGCCAATCCCAGCCAGCTGCGGGTGAGTTTATGTTCTTGTGTTGCTTTATTCCTGTGTTGATCTTATTTATTTTAGTTCTTACCTCTCCTTGTAAAGTACTTTGGTCAACCAGATGTTGTTTTTTAAAGTGCTAATAAATAAATTTTGATTTGATTTGGTTTGAGTTTTCTGACTAACCAGATGAACCAGCTTCCTCTGGCTGGATGAAGGAAACTACAGTAGAAACAAAGCCAGGATTAAACAGAAATGTCAGAAATATATAAGTAAATATTGCAGCCATGGCAAGATTAACCTCCTGATGGGTCCCTGGGCAAGACATCTGTTGTTGTTTGCCTGGTGACCCCCACTGACACCATGTCAGTTATTATTCTTCCCCCAGAGACCCAGAAACCAGCTAGTACTGTGGCACTGAAGGGCCTGAGCACTAACCACCACCCTGTAATGAAACAGTTTATTTAGTAAAGGTGGACCACTAGGCACCTCTGCCAACACACAGTTCACAGTATTTTCGATTTGAATATGAGTGGAAGCAGATGTTGTAGATGCTTCTTACCGACGATAGTGAGGTTGAGGGCGGCCTGTCGGAAGCCATAACCGTTCCGCAGCTCAATGGTGTAACATCCACAGTGCTCCTGCTGACTGCTGGAGATGGTCAGTTTACTGCTGCTGTCCAAGCTTTCTATGGAGATGTCGGTCGAGCCCTCCTGGATCTGGAAACAGCAGATGGTTTAATGTGAGCAGGAGGGTCTGCAGCTGCTGTCTATGGACTTCATCCCGTCAAGGAAAAGGAAGAAAACTCTTTTCAATGATCTGCAGTTACAGAGCAATTTGTCCTAGAATATGGTCAGATATGTAACTATCTACAGCTGGTGGAAGCTGCTGCTGAGGGAGTCCCACGGTCCTTTAAACGCCTCCTCATACTCAGTATCTACCGTCAGAGAGAATCACAGTGGATTTGAAATTAAACTGCTGACTGTGACCTTTAATTTGAGCTTGTTTGTGTCCACATCAGAGAAAAACATGGGAGATACAGCTGGTGACAGATGAGAAGAGACTCCGGACTGAGTGGAAGTCCAACCAGCAAGTCACTGATCAATCAGCTGATCATTGTCCTGATGATCTAATTGATCTGTTTATCCCCAGAATGTCAGACACTGGGAAAAAGTCCCACTGTGACTCTCCAGAGCCAAAGGTGGCATCTCGACATGTCTTGTTGTGTCCAACCAGCAGATCCATAGAGGCTCAGCTGATTCTCATGTCTGACAAAGAAAAGCATCAGCTCCTCACATTAAAGTAGGTGGAACCAGAGCGTGCTGGTTAATTTTCTACCAGTGAACTGACTCATGGCTGCAGCTCTAAGTCACTGAATGGCTTCATGAGGACGACACAGTGGGTTGGACACAGCGAGGGGATCTGGTTTAGAAGGAGGAGGTTTCCTCCTCTGACAGAGGAGACCTGACGCTGCTCTGGAGACATGGCCCTGATGAGGCCCTGCTGGGCGCTGGGTGGTGGTTTGTCCTCTCATCTGTCACCAGCTGTGTGTCACTTATGAACGAGCGATGACTGAACTAATGACACACACCTCCCTATTGAATAAATCACCTGGTAGTTCACAGTGTAGTTTGGAAAAACCCTGTGTGAACAAAATGACACCAGAGAAAGCTGAGTCCAGGTCAGGAGTGAAACATGTAGTCCAGTCAGTGAAACCAGGTGGCAGGTGTGGGTTCTAGCTACTCTGACTCATAAAGGACACTCAGAAAATCTGGGTTTGCATCTGTTGAATCATCAGTGAAGTGACTGGCGTCAGATCAGAGTCCGAGCTGCACACAGGCTCCAGGTATCACATGTGACTTCATTTTGGTCTCTAAATACTGACTGGCACTGACCGGGGGAAAAAGAAAAGAAAGACAACTCCTGAAACCAGCAGGGCAGAAGAAACAGTGCAAGCAGCAGAGACATCTGCATTGCAGTCTGGTTCAGCTATGAAGAGCAGAAAGCCAAGACACAGCTGAGGTTTGAGCTGCCTGCCTCTCTCTGCTGAAGCCAGAGCACAGTGTGGCTGTGGCTGCATACAAACCCTATGGGAGTATTCCACCCAGACGTTTCTACAAAGGCTTCAGGGTCCAGTGCAGCTGCACAGGGCCAGAACAACTGCCACCATGATTCAGAAAGCTACAGTGGCTGCCAAGGACAAAACAGTGAAGACACAGTGTGAAGACATGCAACCAATGTTGACCCTGGATGTTGGGAGGGTACAGACTTTATCTACGTGACCCTTTGTTGAGCTCTGATGTGTTTTCAGGTGAGAAACTATCGATTTATGTTTCAAACACAGTTTGCCTGGCCGTCATTTGGAGAGCTGTTGCTTCTCTGCTTGTTAACGCTGACCCCTGGTGAAATGTGTTCACGTTGCCTGGAAGATGCAATGTGTTCTCAGAGTTGTGAACACGTTTCCGTGGGCAGTTTATCCACAGCGTTGCCTGCACACACCCTTCACCACCCTTTTACCACCTTTCTGCACCAACGCTCACTCTGCTGTTTAACAAACATCACGCACTGTGCCATGTGTCGCTGCTGACCTCTGCCCCTGGAGCCCTGCAGCTAACCCCCTTCCCGCTGCAGATGAGTTACCTGCTTGCATGAGTTTTAGTATGTGTTGAATTTCTGCAGCGGGGTGCACCTGTTCGTGCTAGTGTTTCTCTCTTGTTCATGTTTTGTCCTCAGAGGCCACTGTAGACACATTTTTACACAAAAACACTCTGCCAGTTCATAACTACACGTTTTAAAGGGCTTGCTATCGTGATCAGGGATCGATAACCCTGGCCCCAGTGTGCATTGTCTCTCACTGGTTTCCTGAACTTGAGCCAGGCGCAGCTGATGGGCGGAGCTCCGGCGAACTTGCAGAGGATCTCCACCTTCTGTCCTGCCAGGATCCTCATGTCCTCTGGGAACTGCAGGATCTGAGGGGGCATGGCTGCACACACAGATCAATAATCAATCACCGCTAACTAATAACTAAAGATGAAAAGAAACCATAAAGAAAACAAAAACAATCTTTTAAAAAATGACATGAAGCTTGGTGCTGAGAAAGAACAGCTCCACTCTGTTGACATTTTCTTTTCTTCTGATTTTCTACCTCGATTACTGATTATTGATTACTGTCCACCTCTGTACTCAGACTAAAGGGGCACTCTTAAATACAGCCATAGTAGAAGTTGTGATTCAAACAGTCCAAACATGAGCAAGTGGAGATGCCCCTGACTTCTTGTCTCTGTGGGACAAAGTGTCGATGACTGTTGGTTAGTGGCGAGTTTGCAGAGGACAAACGCTGACTGCTGTCAGGAATGGCCCCAACAGTGACATACTGTATGTTTTCTGCTTTTGAACTCTAACTACCATCCAGATCGGACACTGTTCCAGAAGACTGCTACAGTGTAGAGGTGTTCACAGGTGTGTGTGTGTGTGTGTGTGTCACCTTGTTTGGGAGGAGTCTTGGGGGTCGGTTTCTTTATTCTGGCTTCACCTAATGGAAACAAATGCAGGGGACATCAGAGACAGAAGAGTCAGCGGTTGACATGTTTATAATCTCTGTTCTGTGGGGTTTTGTTACTGCTGCAGTTTGTAACAAGGGAGGAACCAGCAGGTTTTCTTCTTCATGAGTCAAAAGTTCACTTCAACCATTGTATATATTACAAAAAAGAGCGATAAGAATCGTGCATAAGATGGGATATAGGGATCACACCAATGTAGCTTTCATACAGTCTAAATTGTTAAAATGTTTGGATATAGTGGGATGTAAGACCGCAGTGTTTATGTATAAAGCCAGGAAAAATTTATTACCTGGTGGAATTCAAAAGTTATTCAATGAAAGGGAAGGGGGATACAATTTAAGGGGTCAGTTAAATTTAAAAATTCATGCTATATGTACAACCAAAAAAAGATTCTGTGTTTCCATAAGTGGTGTAAAACTATGGAATAATTTAAATGTGGACATAAAAAATAGTACTAGAATTGATGAGTTAAAACATAAGTATAAAGGTATGTGTCAATCAAGATATATGCAAGAACAGGTTTAATGATTAATATGATGTCATGGGGTAGGACTAGATAAGTCTGACTTCTTCCTACTCCGTTCAAGCATGTACTAGGTATAAGTAAATTGATATTGGATTATTATTGTTGGATATGTGTGAAATTACATGTGTTGACATATCAACTGTTTTACATGCTTGAATGAATAAATCAAATCAAATCAAATCAAATCAAAAGTGCAGAGAGCGAAGCAGCAGCATGCAGGAGAAGAAAAATGTGACAGAGAGCGAGGACCCTGTACACAAAGAACGCCTCCGATGACCATATATGGACAAACTAAAAATAGCTCGCCAGGACACAGGAAATGGTTCCTGGAGGTTTTTATTTATTCTGATCCTGCAGAAGAAGAAACTAAAGAGTCTGTACTAGCGCTGTCCTACATGCTGTCATTTGTTGTCTTCTCTGTCTTTACATCCCCCCTCCTCTCCCTCTATCAGAAACACAAACAGGAGACGTTTCCAACACAGTTTCACAGAGAAATGGATAGGAAATAACCCCAATGTTTGCCAAGCTCAGCAGAAACAAGAATATGGACATGAAGATCATGCGACATGAATAAAGCTCCAGAACAACCCAGAAAGAGCTCGAGGGCCCATAGATATTCAAGTTAGTTATGTACATTCAGTTCAAAATAGCACAGAGAAAAGATAGCATCTAACTAATACCTGTGTGGGTCAGAACCCTGGACACTGCACAGACGAGTCTGTCTTTGCTGCTTCTGTGTGTCCTGTCTGACAACTGGGAAACCTTCACATGTACCGCGAGATCAGGACTTTCTGCTCCAGGTTGAGGTTCTCAGAGCCCTAGTATGGAACCATAAACCTGAAACCTGAACCGAGTACTGTCTGAACTGTAAATACATTCGTGTTTCTGGGTGTTTCTTCTGAGTAATGCAGGGGTCCAGAGTTGGGTCTGATCCAGAATCTCACCCCAGATGATAGATCCTGTTTACAGGGTTTGACCTGGGCCTGAAACTGAAGGCACAGGTGTACAGCTATGTGCTCTGGATGTGTCAAAAAAAAGCCTGTTACCCAAACTCACCCTGGTTTAAGAAGAAGAAGCTTTATTTTATTGTAACATGTACAACAGAATTTTGTTTGGAGTTGAGGGGCCCTGGGCCACTGCCATCACGGGTAACTTGGGGGGGGATTCAGTATCTCACCCAAGAACACTTCAACATGTAGACTGCAGGTGCCAAGATTTGATCTTTCAACCTTCCGGTTGGGAGACAAACTGCTCTACCCACCGCACCACTGTCGCCCTTCTGTGATCAAGAGTCAACAGATGATCAGCACATTGAACAGATCAAATCTGATCTAATCTTTTTAAAGCAGCTACTGCCTTCTCCTGAGCTGCAGCTGGTTCTACATAGATGGACTCAGATGCTGTAGCTGGTTCTGGTTGGGCTGTCTGGACCCTGTGGACAATCCAGCTGAGTGGAGCAGGCCAATAAAAACCAGCCAACAGTGTTTTTATGTCCAGTGTCACAGTTTTCCAGCTGCAGGTTAGAAAATGCATATATACACACACACACACACACACACATTTGTATAGCTGTCTTTGTGAGGACATGTGTTGATATAATGCATTCCCCATCCCCTAGCCTAACTTAAACCTTACTCCAACCTGAACCCTCAAATAGCTCTTTGAAGGGGCCTGAGAAAGTGAGGACCAGCCCAAATGTCCTCACTCACATGGTCCTCACACTGCTGGCCATACAAGTACACACACACAGAGCAAGAAACAGCAAACTGGGTTCTATGTGTTTTCATTCTTTTTAAAGTTCAGACTAGGTCTATGGTAACACTGGAGACAAGAACAAGGAAAAATCTTCAGACATCTGTAGGAAGAAATGCTACAAAAACCCTGTTTGTTCTTTCTTCATATAAAATCTGGACAGAACTAATGTCAAGTTTAATGAGACAAGTGAAATATTTACCCTGCAGAACCAGGATGTAAACAAGCACTAACTGGCTTATCCTGTCCAGTTATTATATCTTTATAAACTGGCTAAGTAAACCAGTTAGTATCTGGTATTCCTTGTACCCTCTATACTTCAGTTTCCAGAGACAGTGTGTTTTATCCAAATCAGGGAGTGAGTGTGGAGATGATGATCTGTAAAAGGAGAGCTGCTGCGCCGGAGACTTTTCATCTGTGCTGTGAAGAACAACAATGTCTGAGAGTGCACAGAAAGTCAGGGAAACCAGGCCTTAAAAGGAAGTGTGGGAGAGGAGCCACGAAGACTCTGAAGCGTTTTCTAGCAGAACATCCTCCCCCCATCACCCCTGCGCTGTCGGTTCAGATCTGTTGGTAAAACTCTGCAGACTTCACTTCAGTCACATAAATCAGCAGGGATACAAGAGTGAGGGCTGTATGTCAGTTTAGTGATGCTTCAAATGGGTCTTAACCCTGAGAATGTAAGAAGTGTTACAGCGCCGCTATTTTCTTTCTTTCAATCTGCAGGCTGTAGTGTCGGTCCTTGGTAAAAGAAAATTTTACCAAACCACCGTCCCCTGGCATCTCCACAGGATCATAAATCCACAGCACTATCAGCTGGCTGCCTATTCGCAGATGATCCATTCACAGCAGCAGGTACAAAACAGGTCAAAACAGTTTCGTGAACACTTAAATTTTGTCCACATCTCAGGCTTTAACGCTCAGCTCTGATCTCTGTGTGTTGCTGCTTCCCATCCATGTGTCAGTGACATGCGATGGTCAAATGGCCCAGTTTCCTCCCAAACTGCAGGGTTACCATATGTTCCTTCCAGTGTGGCCTGATTAAAAGCTTCTCCATAAACGTCCACCACATGTGAAACATCCTGGTCTCTCCACTGACCCCGTCGCTGTTGTCACTTTCCTCGATGTTTATTATTATTGGTCTATGAGGAGTTGACACCAAATAATGATGACAGGCCGTATGTGGAGCAGAGGAGACGTTAAAACCACCACATGGATTCTGATCTGACCATTCTGACAGTGCTTGCACAGTCAGAGGTCAGAGAGGAATCTAGGAGCACATACACGTTCAGCATGATGTTACTGTGCAGCATTTAAAATCCAGGGCTCTGATTTGTGGGGGTTTTCCTCTATAATAATAATAGTAAGGTCTAGACCTTACTTTGCAAAGTGTTCAGAGAGGACTTTGTTGTGATTTGGTCTATACAAATAAAACTGAATTGATCACTACATGCTAACAGCAGTGCTGCTAACTCTGAGCTAACAGGCAGGTTTCCTTGTTGGGAGTTTAAACATTTCCATCATTACTTCTGGGATTCCTGCCAATATCCAAGGTAGTCCAAGGTTGCAACAAGAAGCTAACTACTACAGTTTGCATTTGTGTTTCTTGCCTACAAAATAAAAAAGCCTTATCTTGTAATTATGACATAGAGATGAGCAGCTGAGAACATCCCAGGTATGGTTCTAGAGCATGTTACCTTTCCACTGTGCTCTGTTACAGTTTTGATTTTTAATCAACCTCACAGTGTCCACAGCAGCACAACACTTCCTTTTTCTATCTGTTCACTGATGGATGGTGTGACACTGGCCATGCCCTCTGTCACTATACAGGTGTCGTTACATCTCTGCTGTCAGTCGCACATAGTGTGAACACAGCATTAATCGGCCGAACGTTAGCAGGTCAGCCCTCCCCCCTGCTCACAGCAGTCTCTGCACTGCACTGCAGCAGCCTCCTGCAGACTCTCAGGAGCACAAAGCTTTATTGTCGGAATTTGCTTCCAACATCTTCACAAATCATTCAGCAAAGGTGTTTGTGTGGCGTCTGTGAATCACTCTGCCTGTGTGTCACTTACAGCACTGTTCACTTTACTTCAGTCTCACTATCCCCAAGTGTCAAATATAGGTTTTGTGTCTTCAACGATTCCTGTCATGCATCTCCTTCACCAGGACACTAGTCCATGTAAACAAACTCAGCAGTAAACCTACCCTGAGGTGTTCCAAGCGAGCAGGAAGGATTAATGATGAATGATAAATCATAAAGGTAGGAGAAGATTCTCCACTGAAAACACAGAGGAAACACAAGCTGCTGCAGTGCCTGTGTCTGTGCAGACAGACCATGGCAGATGGCCGCTGTCCTGTGGACCACAGAGCACAGCCAGCTCTTCTAAACCCAGTATTCACTCTGCCCAAAGGACAGTCACAAAAACATCTACGAACAAACCAATGAGAAAATGTCTACTAACCCAAACATTCCCAAATCCCTTATCAAATCATTTTAAGTTGTATTTGCTGAAAAGATCATGTCTTTCAGTTATTTTTTTCTTTTTATGATTATTATTATTTCACTCAGTGCAGTAACAAACTCATTGAAACTATGTGATGTAATAAAAGATGTGTATCTGGCTTCAGGCTAATAACACAACTGTTAAACTGAATTATGATTTAAGGACAGGTTAGCAGACAGTGACACTGACAGAACCTCTAGTCAAACCTTGTTGTGCTTGTCAGGTTTGCCCAGCTACACCTTCCTCTCTTCTTTTTCCTCACACTAGCCTAGCCCTTGCACTGATTACACTATTCAACACCCCTGCCCCGCTTCCCTGATTACTCACCAGCTGCACCTCATTAGTCTCCTCCATACTTATACCCTGTTCACCAGTCACTCCCCTGCCAGTTCTTTCTCTGTCTTCAGGTCAGTGGTTGTTATGTTGTTTTGTCAAGTTTATGCTAAGATTGTCTTTGTTCTCTCTAGTCCTTGTTAGCACCCTAGTCGTTATTCTGCCCTGCCGTCTCTAGTGTCTTCTTCCTCTTCGGACCTCTCCTCTGGACCCCCCTGGATTTAATCTATTCCACCAGCCACCGCCTCCCAGGTCGATGCACAGTCTCCCTTACCCAGTTTATCCCTGCTCTTCTGTCTACAGCCATCATCACTTCCACCTCGACCAGCCCAGGAGTGACCTCTGCGTCCGCAGCCCGGTACATCATCATCCACCATACCACTGACTGTTTTTCTGCTGCTGCTGATCGACACCTGGTCATCTACCTCATTACTCCTCCTGTATATATGTCACTACCTTCACTGTAAATAAACCTCACTGCTTGCACCAAAGCCAGCCACCTGGGTCCGCTTTTTATCTGCTCGCTCACTCTGTGTTCGAGCGCACCCTAACAGTGCTGAGTCAAATAAAACCAGTATCTACTTTTTAACTAACTACATGTCTTAGACTTAAAAGATTCAGTAAAGGATTCAAAAGGACTGGTCTGCATAAGGAGCTGGATTCAGACTGGACCAGATGCTGCAGAACCACGTCCTGGGTCACAAGCTCTCTACTGATACAACAGATGAGACATCATCTGATACAAGTCCTTACCATTGATTTGTTAACCTACAGTGGCCGGTTCATTCATAAGCAGGCCTCACTTAAAAAAGGTGTGGGGTGGGGCAGGAAGCAGGAGGACTGATGGGAAATGTGGTCCCAATGTAGGCAAGAGTGAGTGGTGATAGAGGCAGGAATAATAATGTGACAGTGATGTACACGCTGATGTTTCCAGTGATACACAAAGACGCTTTAAATAGCAAGCAGCAGGCCTCGGTGTGTGTGTGTGTGGGAACCAGTGCTTCCAGCCCGCAGCGCCTTATTGGGACAAAAGGAAAGAGCTGCTGCATATTTTGGAAACTCACTCTCTGAGGTTGGAGCCGACTTCTTGGATTTCTTGTCAGCCGGAGAGTTTTCTGCTGGGTCTGCAGCGGGGGGGTACATTGACGCACAGAGAGAGAGAGAGAGAGAGAGAGATATTAACTGTTTCATTTCAGTTTCAATTTCTGGTCAAACAATGAGCTGCTTTGTTAATATTCACATCATCAAACTCAGTGTCATGGAAAGAAACTCGAGACTAGTGACTTTCCTCAGTTTTCAACAGACACAGTATCCAGTCAAATACTGGGCTGATGTCAGGTCTTAATCGACGCTGGGAGTTTGTGTGCATACGTAGGGCTGCCGGCTGCCTGGTGCTGCAAGTCTTCCTGGGTCCTGTGCTGTGTACATGCATCATATATCAGGGGTCCAATCTTTGCTGTTATTCAGTGTCCACAACACAGAACTGTACCTTTTGCAATTATACACTGCCTGGCCACTTTATTAGGTACACATGTACCACTGTATGCACTTCAATGCAACACTTCCACCTTAACATTCGTGTTTACAAAGCTCAACATATTTCTGTTTTTGGTGAAATTGTCATAAATGTGTGAATTCAATTCTATGATTATTACTGAGGCCACAGTTAAAGGTGGTATTGTACTGGATTACATTAAATTCACAGGTGTTCCTAATTATTAATTTGAGTTTATAACAATTTCACCAACTGAAACATGTTAAGCTTCATAAACACAGATGTTAAGGTTGAAGTGTTGCATTGAAGTGCATACACTGGTACAAGTGTACCTATTAAAGTGGCCTGTGAGTGTATAATTGTTCCTTATTTTACCTTGGTTGAAGATTGGACCTCTTGCTCGCAGCTGGCTGGGGTTGGCTCCAGCCCCCCGTGACCCCGTTTGGGAATAAGCGGTATAGAAAATAAATGGATGGATGGAAGATTGGACCATAGTTTAACACATCTACCTATACTAGTAACACACACACACACACACACACACACACACACACACACACACACACACACACACACACACTGTGATGCTTCATTCCAGGCATTGCTCAGAGATGTCTGATACATACAGGTCCTGTCTGTGATGACTTAGTCTAATGACAGGAAAGTCCCGGATGCTGCTGAGGAATGCTGGGACATGACAAGAAGGAGGCAAAGACACATGTTTTTGTTTTCTTCTGTGTTCACTGGGAAATGAGCAGCACCTCCTCAGTTTTCAACAGGCAGTTTACAGGTACAGGCACAGGTATTCGGTTTAATACTGGACCTGGACAATGTGACTTTGTGTTTTAATCAGATGTAGCTGCAGAACACTGGAGATTGTTTACATACTTTACGGCTGACTTTACTGCCACAGAGATATCTGGATGAAAAGCTTCAGAAAGCTTGTCATGACAAACAGGAATGAAATTAAACTTCATGTCTTGATTAAAAGCCAAATTAAAAAGAAAATGCTAAAAATGGAGAATCAGCTGTGAACCAGTTTCTCTGTCCATATCTAAGGTCCATACAAAGAAAGGAAATTTAAAATCCATGTTTTTTTAAGGGAAATTCTCCTCGTATGACAAAGCAGTTTAGCAATGTTACAGTTCACTGTGGAACTTGAGTTTAAACAGTAACAAACATGATTAAAAACTGCCTGACAATGAATGAAATGTTTTGGGTTGCAAATGTTTACATAACTTTGGGCTGAAATTGTCAGAACAAACAGAGGATGACACTGAGAAGCAGCAATGAACCAAGATGAGTGTCTCCAGAAAGAAATTAGGCTAAAATGTTGTATACTGTCTGATAATGGGTCAAATAAAGACAAAATTATATCAATTGTGAAAAAGGCTGTGTTGGTGTTTCACATTCAACACAGCAAATAACAATAAACTGCCAGACATTTGAAGGGAGTTTGGTGACTGTTCTTCAGTGTGAAGAGGGAACATTTAGGGGGGTAAATGGATGCAAATATACATGAAATGTATACCCTATTAGAGAAGGAAGTGCAAACAAATGCTTGCTTTCTTTCAACACAATGGAATTATCACAATATGACCAACACAGTCCACAATCTGAGGAGACTTTTCAGAAATAACAGCTACAGTATGTATTCACTTCAGAGTGAAAAGTATTACTGCTTATTTTATTAAAACAGGCATATGTTTAAATAAATATTAACAGCAGGATAAAAGTAATAAATGACATTAATACGAGAGAAAGAAGAGGTCACAGGGTCATTACAGTCTGAAGGGTTCAACTGCAGCAGTTTTATTTTTTAGGTGTTTTACTGCACTGGTGGATGGATGAATCAATATCACCACTACCGACACATTTCCCTTTGCAGTTGCAGCCTGATACAGATGTTGCCATGTGAGCAGTGACTGAGTATTAATGAAAAGAAGAGAATTCCTCACCGTCGACTAGAACTACACATGAGCTCTCAGCCTTTCCTGCCGACGTCTCGGCTCTGCATTTATACTGGCCTTCGTCCTCTGGTAGAGCTTTGTCTATAGTCAGAGAGCACAGGTTGCCTGCAACATAACACATTACCACACAATACAGCACACTGTCAGAGCACAACATTTAAACACAGCAGCACAAGTTTATCCCCACTTCAAACCTTCATTAAAACCTTGTTCATTATAGATATTAATGATAAAAATGTGCTTCAAGAGTCACTGAAAGGAAAAGTTCATTATGAAGTCAGCTCTCTTTATCCTTCTCTGGTTAGCTTAGCTTAGCATAAAGGCCAGAAACAGGGTGGTATCTGACAGTCACACACGTAGTGAAAGGACACAGTTGCTCCTCACTACTGCCTTTTGTGGACCATTTTACTGCATTCATGGGTTGACCTGACCTAGTCACCAGGGATGGACTTCATCTCAGCAGATCTGGCTCCCAGTACCCCATAGAGACTGTGTCTGCCCCCGACCACCTAAATTATATAAATCAAAAATCAACTCAAGAGGAGATATTCATAAGAACCTAATTAAAATTAAAAATACTCCTCTTATAGAACAAAATACCAGGACAATCAAATGTGGACTATTAAATATCAAATCTCTCTCGTCCAAATCTCTGTTAGTGAATGATTTGATTAGTGAACATTGATTTATTGTGTCTGACTGAAACCTGGTTACAGCAGGAAGAATATGTCAGCCTAAATGAATCCACTCCACCTAGTCACAGTAACTGTCACATCCCTCGAAACACAGGCTGAGGTGGAGGTGTGGCAGCGAGCTTCGGCTCAAGCCTATTAATCAGCACTAGACCTAAACATAGTTTGAAAGTCTGCTTAGTGCTTAGCACAGATAAAATAATCATAGTGGGTGACTTTAATATCCATGTAGATGCTGACAATGACAACCTCAACAGTGCATTCAGTTCATTATTAGACTCAATGGGCTTTTCTCGAGCTGTAAATAAACCCACTCACTGTTTTAATCACACCCTTGATCTTGTTCTGACATATGGCATCAAAAACAAATGCTTAATCATTTTTCCCCAAAACCCTCTTCTGTCTGACCATTTTTTAATAACTTTAGAATTTACATTAATGGATTATACTCTATGTGGGAAACAATTCCACTGCAGTAGATGTCTATCTGTCATTGCTGTTACCAAATGTAATGAAATGATTCTATCATTATTTACTTCTGTTCCATGTGCCAACACAGTGGAGGGAGGCCACCTTAACTTTATTCCCACACAAGTCAATAATCTTGTTGATAGCACTGCAGCCTCCCTGAGTAATACACTTGATACTGTTGCCCCTCTGAAAAAGGGGCAACAATACTCTTGACCCAGGTGCCCTAGCTAATTATAGACCAATATCCAATCTCCCATTTATTTCTAAAATCCTTGAAAAAGCTGTTGCAAAGCAGTTATGTGACCACTTGCACAAGAATGATTTGTTTGAGGATTTTCAGTTAGGATTTAGAGTCCATCATAATAGTGAAGGTCGCCAACGATCTTCTCCTAGCCTCAGACAAAGGACTTGTCTCCATACTTGTCCTCTAGGATCTCAGTGCTGCTTTTGACACCACTGATCACAGCATTTAACTACAGAGACTTAAACATGTTATTGGGATTAAAGGAACCACACTAAGTTGGTTCTTACTTATCAGAAAGATTCCAATTTATTCATGTTAATGATGACTCTTCCAGACAGAAGTTAGTCACGGCATTCCACAGGGCTCTGTGTTAAGTCCAATTCTCTTCACTTAATATTGCCTAAAGGGAGCATGTATAATCAGGGGAAACGGCATAAATTTCCATTGCTGTGCAGATGATACTATGAAGCCAGATGAATCAGATTAACTAGTCAAACTTCAAACATGTCTTAAAGACAAATGCCTGGATGACCTGTAATGTCTTACTTCTAAAATCTAACAAAACTGAAGTTATTATACTTGGGCCTGAAAACCTGCTGTCTAACCATATAGTTACTTTAGATGACAGAATAGCTCTGGCCGCCAGTATTACTGTGAGGAACCTTGGAGTCATTTTTGACCAGGATATGTCATTTAAATCACACATAAACCAAGACTCTAGAATTGCCTTCTTTCACCTGCACAATATTGCAAAAATCAGGGACATCCTTTCTCAAAGTGATGCTGAAAAAATGTTTGTATCTTAAAGACCTCGTAGAGCCTTATCATCCCAACAGAGCACTTGGTTCTCAGAGTGCAGGTCTACTTGTGGTTCCTAGAGTCCACAGAAGGGAGGCAGAGCCTTTAGCTATCAAGCTCCTCTCCTGTGGCTGCCCACCAAGAGCTGGGGTCTGTTGGAGGTTTCTTCCATTAAAGGGAGTTTTTCCTCCCCCCTGTCGCCAAGTGCTGCCCAAGGGGGATTTGTTGAGTTTTCCCTATAACAACTGTGAGCTCTGGGCCTGACTATGTAAAGTGCCCTGAGGCAAGTGTAGTTGTGAATTATCGCTAAACATAAAAAACTGAATTGAATTAAATTGGATTCATATGTGGCGTTCTTCTTCTGGATGTGTTAGCATCTAAAGCCAACAGGTTTGTTTTGGTAGCATTAGCCACTTAGCATGGCCATGATCTTACCTTTGTGTTGAATTAATATGATTTTAATTTGGGAGTAATTTGAGATTTGTGTGACTGCAGTAACCAGTCTACATCAGATGCATGATGTGATGACAGCAGCTTGAAAAGCAATTAACCCTGATGATAAAGCCATGTAAATTTTGTCTTCATTTTCTAAAATGTTGAATACATTACATCATATATATATA